GGGCGCTGCCCGGCCCTGCCCTGGCAGCGTCCCCGCAGCCCAGGGCCACGGCCCGGTGCCTTGCCCCAGCCGGGGAAGGCGCGGAGCCGGCGGCAGAGCTCTGTGCCGGGCTCCTGGCAGGTAGGCACCTGCGGTGGGCTGACAAGGAAGGCTGCCTGGGCTCCCTTACCATTCCTCCAGCACTCCCCTTCCTGTCCAGGTGTGAGGTGTCTGGAGAAGGTGTGGGTGCTGAATCCCAGATGGGTTCGCCCATGACAGCTTGTAGCTCTTGCTGTCCCTCGCTAGGCTTCCCTCGCTTCTCCTCTCCACTTTTCCTCTCTCTTAGCTGGAAGAATTGACCTGTGATGGTGGAAAATCCAGGGTGATAGAATTCAACGTAAAAAAAAAATGCATAATAACAATTAGCTTTTATCTCCATATGGAATTGGGTGAAAGAAAATAATTACCCGTTTTTTTTCTGCACTTGCAGTACAAGAGCTACTCTGTGAAACCTGGCTTCAGCGTAGCGGGTGACCAGGCACCTGTATCCTTGGAACACTTGTTCTGCCGGTTCTCCTGTCATTTGTTTTGTTGTTACTTTGCCAATAAACCTGACTCTTCTGCTTTCGGTCAAAATAGAACAGGAAGCCTGCCAAGAAAAGTTGTCAGAGCTAGTGGACAGTCAAAAATAAATGGATTGTTCAGAGGAGATAAGGTTCTAGAAAAAAATTAAATTAGTATTTTGTTCTGTGCTCGCTGTAGAGGAACTTAAGAAGATTCCTGTGCTTGTACTTCATTTTGTGACAGATTTATCGGAGGGTATGTCTCAAGCTGAAGTGTCTGTAGAAAAGGTTATGAAACAAATGGCTAAAATAAAATGCACTGAACGGTTGGACTGCATGATATTCATCCCAAGAGTTCTAAGAGAAGTCAAGATTTAAATAGCTGAGCTTCTTACTAATGGTTTTGTGTAACATCGCATTTAGAAGTGCTTTGATAACAGAGAATGGGAAGATAGTTAATATGCCAATTAAAAAAAAAAGTGGTTAGAAAAGTTCTGGAGAGCTGCTGCGCAATGAGCCTGTTATCTGTACCATGCAAGTTAATGAGAACTTTAAAAAGGTGAACTAGCGGGTGTAGGGAGGCAATGGTGTACTGGGAGAGCTGGCAGAGCTTTTCTGAAGAGGAGTCCTGGCCTCACACGTTGTTTTGAGTCCTGTGAGGAGTTGGCAAAGCGTGTGGACAAGAGGGATTCAGCTGATGTTGTCTACTTGGGTTTCTGAAAAGCATTCAACAAAATCTACGGGCAAAAGCTTCTGAAGAAACTATGGAATAAGAGGAGAATGGGTAGATGACACTGGGTTAAAGACAGGTCACTGCAAGACAGAGCAAAAACGTTTTCTCGGTGGAAGGAGTCAATATGTGAAGTTCCACAAGGATCTGAACTGGAGCCTGTGGTCTGAGGGGAACTTCAGTAAAATGTGACAATGCAAAGTGAGTGGGTGATGCAATTTGATATACATAAATGTAAAGTGTTTTAAATGAGAGACAACCCATCCTAACTTCAAATATACAGGAACAGCCTAGAAGCTGATTTATCACTTAGGAACAAGATCTTGGCATAGTAATAGTTATGTGAAAATCTCATCTCAAGGCTTGGTAAATGAGCAAATCAAATGTTAGGAGGTAAGAAAGAAGAGCTAGAGAACAAAGCAGAGAACATCATTATGGTACATGGTAAATCCACGGTGTGCCAGTGCTTTGAATGTTGTGTACGGTTCTGATCTTATCTTCAGAAGGATGTAGAGCACTGTAAGAGGTGCAGAGAAGTAAATAGGTGTTCTGAGGTGTGGAACAGCTTCTGGGTCAGAAACAGATAAACTAACTAGGACTCTTCA